CATTATTGCGGTGTGAAGGCCACCGATACATTGCACACATCTGAAACAGAGCTGGGGAGGGACTGTTGGCTCTGTCAGCCCGAGAGCGGCCACGGGAACATATAAGAACAGGCTGATGCTGGAAAACACATTGCTGGGTTGCTTAGTCAAATGCTATATTTAGCAAGGGATTGAAATAACTGTGGTGGTTTTCAACTAGGCTAATCTGTGAGCCGCAGTTGCACTAATACTTGCCCAGTTGATGGTTAATGAAGTCAATTAGTGTGGAGCAGTTGGCAGCCAAGGGAACCCGGCTGCAGGAGGTGTGTGTGGTACCCTTGCTGCCTTTCCCCGCCGACCGTCCCAGCAGCCCGCGGCTTCACGCCTGGGGAGCATTGGTTCTTTGCCACACTGCATGCAACAGCCTCCCAACGGACAAGGGGAAGGGTGCTCAGCGACTCCCTGGGGGGCTTGCCCACTGCCCTCACTCCCCCAGCCAGGCAGGCGTCCATAAGTGGCCAGCCAGGCTTGAGAAACACAGCCTGGTCTGCTGAAGGGTATTTGAGTTGCATTTAGCGCTTCTCTTCTATTTACAGGTTTTTTTAAGTATATATATAGATATACATATGTAGATGCACATAGATATAGATATGCATGCGTAAACTTCACCCGTATGCCAGCATCAGTGCAGCTAGCAAGCACAAGGGAAGGCAGCTCCGCATCTAGCTTGAGCGGGATTTTGAGGGTGTTTCTAGGGGAAAAAAGGCACCGTCGGAGCAATAGCACACCCCGTGCTTTCTGCCCTGCCCCGGCCTGGGGGCAGCTGTCCTGCAGCAGTGTGTGAACACATGTGCGTGCACCGCTGGCCGTGCACAGCCGGCTCTGCCTGTCCCACCGGCTCCCTGGGGCTGCCCGCTGACTCCACATCCCCCTCGGTCCCGGTCCCCTCTGGGCACTGGGGCCGGCTGAATCCTCTCTGGTCTCTTCCTGCCACAGGCACGGCTCTGAGGAGTATCTCTTGCCTTTGCTCCATCTCGTCTGCCAATCTCTGGCACTTCCACCCTCGTCTCAAATCCCATCACCGCCTCAGCCTCCTAGGAGAGATAAGGGCTGGGGTGGAGGTAAAACCAGGCCTGCGGCTTTTTGCTGACAGCACACGAGGTTGAAAATGTGCTTTGTGAATGCACTGCGGTCAGGACCGCAACGTGCGCCTTCCCCTCCATCGGTGAGTGTCCCAGAGGAGTGCCGGCTGGCACGGGTCGGCACGCTCGCCGTTGCCTCCTGAAACTGAAGCGGCTCAGTGGAAGGGGTTTGGCAGAGGTGTGCGGGTGCCTCCAGCTGCAGGGAGGTGATTTGGAGGGGCTTGGGAGAGTTCAGCTGTGGGAATGGGCTGAAACTGAGGGGGAGAGAGCATCAGCCAGCGCTGGGGGAGCAAAACGAATGAGCACTGGGGTTCGCCCAGGGGGGCTGCTGGCAGGAAGTGGGTCTTTGCCAAGGGGAGGGCACAAGAACGCTTAGAGGATGGGGAATCTCCCAGCCAGATCCCAGGCACTGCCCGGGATGGGTCTGAAATGGCCCCAGCCTCCTGTGATCAAGCACGGCTCGGTCCCTTTCCTTAAAGCTGTGCTAAAACCCACCCATGGTATGGCCAGAGCGGGAGTGTTCTCAGCAGCGGGGTGCTGAGCGCCTGGGAGGTGGGACTCTGTGGTGAGATGCCCCCACTGCTGCAGGACAGGGTGCAAGAAGGTGCCTGGACATTGGGAGCCATCCTAAACAGGAGCTTTCCTGCAAGCAGGGCTAGGAGTGCTTGAGAAGTGGTTTTATGAGGTTCTTGTTGTTAATTTGGATCTTGATTCAGATACCAGAAGTGTTTTCCATATTTTCCAGGCACCCATCTGTCACAGTGACAAGCCCTGCACAGTACTTGTCAGCAAATAAATGAAATATTCTGGTGAGATTCACTGCATTTAATGCTGGGAGATGAGATCTGGCTTGTGAGATACTTACACCTCATGCTGCTTATTTTATTTTGTACAGATTTTTGTCCTGGTATTTTAATAGATAATGTTTTGATTGTGTAAAATAGTACCGTAGAACATAAATAACCAGGCAGAGGGATGGTATTACAGGGAGCAGTTTGTGCTGGGATGAAGACCGTGGCCATGCATCTTCCAGAAGCCAGAGCGGTTGCAGCAGGGGTCTCAGGGGTGACGGGGATGATGGGACTGGTACCCAGGAGCTCACTGGAGAAGTCAGGAAGCCTCCAGGGAAGCCTGGAAGCCTCTGGCACCGCCAGCTCCCGCTGACGCTCTCAGACCTCTGAGTTGCTGAGCAGGGGCTCATGTAAAACTGTGATGCTGAAGCTCGCTGGCTCCATCATTAAAAAAAAAACACCAGCAGCACTGGGAGATTCAGCATTTAATTAACTTGCCAAGTGGTAACGTTGACCAAAATTATGCGGGAAGACTTCTATTTTAGTTAATTACAGTTTTGTTGTCGCCCATTAGGAAATTAAAACAATTGCAGGGTAAAACCTGGCGGAGGTTGGCGAGCGCGGCTGTGGCCACCTGCCAGCGGATGCCAGAGCCCGGGGGGAGCCGGGGCACCTCCCATGCACACAGACCCCTGACGCTTGCCAACCCCGTGTCCCATCCCTGCGAATTGCCCTGGGGCTCCCCTGCAAGTGGGGCTGCTGCAAATCCTCCCTCGCCCCCAGGAGGGAGTGTGGGCAGCCATGCGCACGGCCATTGGCGTGGCAATCAGCACAGCATCAGTGCGGCAATCACCACCCGTTTGGCAGAGCCTGCGGGAATTGCAGCCTCATCCTGTTTCCCAATGCCGCTCACATGGTGCAGAATTAAAAAACAGGATGGTCATTACTGCTCAGATGTGATGCCTTGAATGAAACCACTCACTTTTGGTTGCTGGGGACTGCCCTTGTACCCTGGGCTCCATCCTGCCCCTAATGACCGCAGCAATGCTGTTTCTCTCTCTGGAAACCTATTTTTTCCATAACTCCTCTGCAAATCCTGGTGGTTTGGGGGTGAGGAAGGCTGGGAGCCTGGGGGGTCAGGGCGATGACCCTCCCAGCTGCCTGGTTTCCAGCATGCCCTGCTGTGCCAGCACCTCTTCATTTAAGACAACATCTCAGGCACGCTTTGGTTTCATCCCTCTCTTTAATTATTGATGCTTTCCTTTGCCTGGAGCCCACTCTGCATCCCAGCAGCGTTCCCCACACTCAGCAGCGGCCCCAGCTCCCTATCACCTGTGCTCCATGTGGTTAAAACTCAGGCAGCAGACCTCGGTGTCGAGCAAGACCCCATCCCCATCCTGATCGAGGCTGTGGTTTGCAGCATCTTTAAGCACGGAGACCCAGACAGGCGCCGCCGTGCCTTTGCCGTAAGCTCCGTACCCACTTACTGCCCCAGCAAGGGGCGCCCTGACTTCCTGGGCACCCAATGGTTTGGACATGTAAAGCACTAAATACAGCCTAATTATTATTATCTCCATGGGATCTGGTTAATCTTGATGGGGATTTACTTGCTGTTAGCGAACCAGCCGGTCGTCGAACGTTTGTGTTTTTCTCAGGGGCAGCTTAATCCCATTGCTCATGTTGGCTGGGAAATGCCCGTGGCCGAGTTGCTTGCCCATATGGGGGAGCTGTGGGATAACCCCACACCGAGCGACACAGCTGCGGGACCATGGGAGAGGGACGGGTCATTTGTCACCAGCAGCGCGTGGGGCTGCAAGCGTCCTCCCGGACCCCTCAGTGTTTTAGCACCCAGCAGCGTGCCAGGTGTCAGTGGGGCTGCAGAGGTCTCTTCAAGATGGAGAGGTTTGCCAGAGATGTTCCTACTGGGTGCGGGCAGCTTTGCTCGCCTCCCGTCTCCCCGCAGGACCCACAGGCAGGATTTCTTGCCCTTCCGTGTGCATGTAGGAGCCGGGTGGCTTTGCAGCTCCTGCTGCTGGAGGCATCCACTGCAGCAAGCACCAGGATGCGATAGCAAACGCCGTGCCGGCTGCAGCGGCACAGCCTGTGCTTGCAGTGTGCGGGTGGCTCCACACGGCGCTGGCTGCTGATGGGGCCAGGGGCTCTCCCACAGCTTGGGAAAATTCAGCTCCCCCTTTGCTGGTTTTCTGCCGTCCAGGGCCATGACAGCACAGCGATTTGCCACGGGGGTTTGGACTGAAGCACAAGGTGCTGGACTGTCGGCAGGGCCTCCCAGGCATAGGAGACCCCCCAGGGCGCCGAAAGGAAGGCCAGGAAGAGAAAATGCAGAGCCCCTGCTGTAGCCCCGCGGGCTCTCTACCATTCACGGCCCTGCTTGCGAGCTGCTTTTTCCGGGCCATAAAGCAATGTCTCTTGCTGAGAATTTCACTAGACAAGATTGTCTTGTTCTTTTCCCGCACAGCATGTCCTTTGGGTAATATCTTTGGCAAATTTTTGCGTACTTGTGTACCCAGTATTTTCTGATAACCTAGAAAAAAAAGATCCTTAAGTATTATGATTATGCTCTTAAACCTTTATTGTATCAAGGAAAACAAATCAGAGCAAGAAAGAAACTGTGGAGCCTGAGAAGTGTTAAGCTATGGCAGTAATCTGTCTTCATTATTTAACTTCATTTAAAACTGAAATAGTGGCAAGACTGGAGATGGAAAGAGCTGGCGATGCTGAGGTATTGGGGTGGGGAGGGAGAGTGTGAAATCCCTGTGTTGTAGCCATGGTCCCTCTGGCTGATCACGGAGGTCTGGACAAGGGTAGGGGGAGGTTTAAGCTGGATGGTCGATCTCTTTTTCCAGGCGGTTTGTAGGGTACGGCTCCAGTGCCGTGCATGCACCTCCGGCATTTTGACACTTGCCGACTCACTGCCTGGCCTCTCTGAAGCTGGTTATTTCGTTTGGGTGGGCTAAGTCCTCCGCACCATCTCCGTGTGTCCCATCAGCTGAACTTCTTGGTGAGGTCCCTGCTGGGATGAAGCTCCCAGAGTTTCAGCAGAACTTTTCCTCTCTGTGTTTTGCAGAAGAACGAATGGCTGTGCTTGAACTGCCAAACTCAGCGGCTGCTCGAAGGCAGCCTCGGCGACCCTGCCCCGATGCCGCTGCCTGCCCCAAAGCAACCACCCACAGGCTCCCCACGGCACCAGCCACCGGCCACTGGCCAGCAGCAGAGAGCGCCCATGCCGGCACCCCCCGAGCCGGCCGCACCCCCTGAGCGACAGCCCTCGCCCACAAGGACCCTCTGGGCTGCTGAGCAGAGCAGGACCTCGAGCCCTGCCCCAGCTGAGAAGAAGCCCCCACTGCCAGCAGAGGAAAAGCTGCTGCCCAAAGCTGCTCCAGAGCCTTGCAGAGCTCCTGAGAGCACCATGCCGAAGGGGAAGAGTGCGACCCCCAAACCGGAGGTGGAGAGCAAGCAGAGCCGGGTACCCCCCGAGGCGCTGCGGGCAAAGGAGCAGGAGGTGAGCTCTTGGGGCATGTCTGGCTCTGAGCATCCCTGGGGACTGCATCCTGCCCAGGGCTGGTGTGGTGCTGAGCAGTGCCTCTGCTGGCAGCCGTGCTCAGAAACTGGGGGGTTTATTCCAGTTCACAGTAGAAGCCACGTTGCCAGCCCTGTTTGCCTTGGGAAACAGCATTTTGGGAAACAGTGAGCTCAAATACTGCTGTCTCAGCATTTCCAAACCGCTTAGGAACTTCACACGCTCTGTAGCAGCACACTGGTATTTGCCTTCTCTTTATTAGGACTGAATCAGTTTGGGCATAACACGATAGTTCAGGTCATCTTTGGCCTTTGGATTTGTTTTAAAATAACATAAGGGCAGTTTAATGTGTCGTTAAATGGAAACTCGTTTCACACTGTTCCATGTTGCAGTGGTGGGCATTTTTCAAGCTCCTCACCCCACCTTTTTTAAAATTCAACACAATTCGGGGAAACATTTTGCTGCCTTGGGATGGTTTTCCCCCACGAGCAACCATCCTGGCAGCGGCCAGCACAGCCCCCCTCCGGGAGGGGACACAATGGGAGGTCCCCACCAGCCGCTACACAGCCCCTGGGGAAGAGGCTCCCGGCACATCCGAAATCAAATAAGGTCCATGGTGCCTCTGTGCTGGCGGGGTGACAGGCCCTGCTTGTGATGCTTTCCCCGCGGCTCAGAGGCTTGCCCCCGTGCTGCCTAATTGTAACATCAATTAAAATGGCCTGTTTATTTCTGCTGGCATCTAACAAGGATCCTGGGGGCCGCCCTGCTTCTGAAGGCTGCTTTGCAGGGCTGTCAGTCAGGGAAATTAAAGTTCATTAAAAGGTGGCTGTTCTCCCTGGCTGCCACCGGCAAAGCTCCTGTCCTCTCGGTGCTGCCGTGCCAGCCAGGCTGGGCACCGGCACATGAGGGCTGCCCCCTCCTTGGACCCCCCCATTGCCAGAGCTCCCCCTCCTCTCCAGGCGGCTCTGCACTTGCAGCCCTTCCCCAGGGAAGGGCGTGTGGCCACCGGTACCCCAAGCTTACAGCTGGGCTCGGCTGCCGCTGGCTCCCAATGTAGTGGACAGTAAAAAAATTTATATTCTCCTGCTAGTTATTGGGGAGATAGCGCTGACAGGGCCCAGTTTTTTAAACATATTTATGAGTCCCACCATGCTCATGCCCCCCAGGATGTTTACTGTGCCATCCCCTGCTTGCAGTATGCTCTGTCACCTGCCTTCATTAGTGCACAGATAAATTGCTGATTGTTGGGGGGTACACAGGGCAGCCCCCAGCCCTCATGCTGGGCTGGCTCCCAACACTGCCCAGACCTTCTGCGTGCGCCCCAGGGGGGGATTAGAGGGGGAAGCAGGGGGAGCAGCTCTGGAGCTGCCCAGGTCTGACGCTGTGCTCTCCCTCGCCCGCAGGACGGGAGCAAGCCTTACCCCCCGGACCTGTCCCGCAGCCCCCAGAGCCTGAGCGACACTGGCTACTCTTCTGATGGCATCTCCAGCTCACAGAGCGAGATCACTGGTCTGGTGCAGCAGGAGGAGGAGAAGCTGAGTGGCACCGGGCTGGCCGGGCAGAGCCCCCCCAGCCCCTCTGAGCTCACCAAGCTGGAGAGCAGCATGCGGCCCCTCCTGGAAGGCCGGGGCACCCCACCGGAGCCCACTGAGCACGCCAAGGGCTGCCCGGAGCTGCGGGAGGAACAGCGGCAGCGGCCGCACTACCTCTCCATCACCCCCGAAGCCTTTGACTCAGACGAGGAGCTGGAGGACATCCTGGAGGAGGATGAGGACTCACTGGAGTGGGAGAACCAGCGGGAGCGGCGGGAGAGTGCGGAGTCCTCAGATGAGTTCGGCAGCAAGCTGCGGCACGACTACGTGGAGGACAGCAGCGAGGGGGGCTTCTCCCCAGTGCCCCCCCGGCCCAAGGGCCAGGAGGCAGAGGCGAGCGATGAGGACTTCATGCGGAGGCAGATCCTGGAGATGAGCGCGGAGGAGGACAACCTCGAGGAGGAGGAGGAGGAGGGCTACGGGTGTGTCAAGTATAGTGTCCCCAAAGCCGGGCAGAAGGCCGAGGCAGAGAAGGGCAAAGAGCCAGCAGCGGCCAAGCGGCGCCTGCCACATGGTCCCAGCAGCCTGTACAAGGAGGAGAGGAAGGAGCTGGAGGCAGTGGAGGGTGATGACTTGAGCACAGCCCAGGGCGGGCTGCGGCGCTTCAAGACCATTGAGCTGAACAGCACAACTGGCTATGGTCAGGAGGTGGAGATGGGCCAGGAGGCGGATGCCAGCCTGGACCGGGAGCCTGAGCTGGAGATGGAGAGCCTGACGGGCTCTCCCGAGGAGCGGTCTCGGGGCGAGTACTCCTCCACCCTGCCAGCCACAACGCCCAGCTACCCCTCGGGCACCTCGCCCACCTCCATCTCCTCCCTGGAGGAGGACAGCGACAGTAGCCCCAGCCGCCGGCAGCGGCTGGAGGAGGTGAAGCAGCAGAGGAAGGCTCGGCACCGCTCGCACGGCCCCTTGCTGCCCACCATCGAGGACTCGTCTGAGGAGGAGGAGCTGCGGGAGGAAGAGGAGCTGCTGCGAGAGCAGGAGAAGATGCGAGAGGTGGAGCAGCAGCGCATCCGGAGCACAGCGCGCAAAACCAAGCGTGACAAGGAAGAGCTGAGGGCCCAGCGGAGGAGAGAACGCTCCAAAACGCCCCCCAGCAACCTCTCCCCCATCGAGGATGCCTCCCCCACCGAGGAGCTGCGGCAGGCAGCAGAGATGGAGGAGCTGCACCGGTCCTCCTGCTCTGAGTACTCACCCTCCATCGACTCGGAGGCCGAGAGCTTCGATGCCGTGGCCTCCAAGCTGTACAAGTCAGGCAGCGAATACAACCTGCCCACATTCATGTCACTGTACTCCCCGACGGAGAAGGGGGAGAGCGGACCCAGCCAGCCTGCCAGTAAGCCCCTCAAGAGCGCTGAGGAAGCCTACGAGGAGATGATGAGGAAGGCGGAGATGATGCAGAAGCAGCAGGTCCAGCAGGCCCAGCCGGCCGTTTCCTATGGCAGTGCCTACCAGCAGGTTGGCTATCGTGGTACTGAGGGCCAGAATGGCTTTGAATATCAGTATGCTGAGGAGTACCAGTATGAGGGTGGCCTCACGCGCCCCTCCCAGCCCGGCTACCTGAGTGCCCTGCCAAAGGCGGGAGCAGTGTACGAGGAGATCCTGCAAACCTCGCAGAGCATCTCCAGGATGCACCAGTCTTCCTCCTTCGACCTGGCCTTCGAGCAGGGAGAGAAGGCAAAGGGGCAGGAGGAGGCGTACCAGGATAAGCACTTCCTCAATGCTGAGAGCGCTTACGCTGACCTGATGAAGCAGAACGGTGGTCCACTCACCCCCGGCACCAGCCCCACGCAGCTCTCTGCTCCTGTCTCCTTTGCCACTTCCGACGGCAGCGCAGGAAAGGCCATTCCCGATGTCCGGGTCACCCAGCATTTTGCAAAAGAGGTGCAAGACCTGGCCAAGCTCCAGAGCACCCCGGCAGCACCTGGCCCTGCGTCCAAGGCTGCCACCACTCCTTACACCTATGGCAAAGGCATCAGCACAGTGATGGTGGCAGCAGGCGGCCCCGGGAGCACGCCACAGAGCTACGGCTCCTCAGCTCCAGAGGCCCCGTCGGTAGCTGGCAGAAGCTATGGTCCGCTGAAGAGCACTGTCAGCTACGGCTCACAGACAGAGGACACCAGCAGAAGCAAGGCGGCAGTGGAGATGAGTGTGCAGACGGCCAGGGAGAAGCCCCCAGCTGCGAGCGATGGCAAGCCCCTGCCACCCAAGACGTACCCCTTCTTCAAGAGCTCCAGCCCTCCGCTCTCGCCCACCTCCCCCACACAGAGTCCCACCCATGCTGCAAAGGCCACAGCAGAGTTTTCCACGCAGACGCAGAGCCCCCTCCTCCCCTACGAGGGTCCTGCTGCTGCCAGCCCTGCCACCACTTCCCCCATGGTGGCACAGGGGACGCAGACACCACACCGGGCAGGCTCACCACGCCTGGCCCGGCAGCCCTCCTCGCAGGAACCCCACTTCACGCG